AAAAAAAAAGTATTCCCAATAATTTACCAAATTAGAGCTAACCTTCTTTACATGGTCAAGAAACTACAAAAAATTATATGTGAATTCTTGCCACCCAAAATTCAGAATACATTTTCTTTGAAGCATTTGCTTAGATTATTAAGAGTCAATATAAAACAATGTTCTTCTACTAGTGTTGGGAATTTAAAATGTGTTTGAACTGAGTAAGGACTTACGTGAATGTTCTGTGCTAGAATTATGGGGTATTGTGATCCATTTGAGTCTGTGTTTATTCCCAAGAGTGAATAAAATAAATGGCCAGGTTTTATACTTCATACAATTATTTGTGTTTCAGTGGGTATTTGCCCCCTGGAAGCAAAGCAAGTTCTGTTTGATCTTGGCATTAGTGAACTTTAGAGATAACTACATAAATGTGTAATGCACTGTTTTAATATTTAGCATTGGAGTTGTCTTTATGTCATTAGTTTCATTCAAGCACTATCAAAGCTGGGTCACTTGCTAGAAAGAGGGACAACTAAATTAAGATATGCTTGCCCAGAGATGTTAAAATGTAAAATGTTTTGAGTAAAACCTCAACATCAAATGTAGTTTCTTAAGTATCGAAGTCTTTTCTCATGGTCTTTAAGACTATAGCGATTTCAGAGGTACACCAATACCTTCCATATGTGCACACAAAGAAAAGATCTCAGCAATCAGGGTTTTAAAATGAGACCTGAGCCATCAGAGGATTTAAAGCTTTAGCTTACAAAATTTTATTTTAAAACAATCAAAATCTTCCAGTGACGTTTGAGCTGGATAAGTAGGATATTATTGCTAAAGTTATTGCTCATAATTAAGAGGAAAGTTTGTGCCATACCCTATTTGGGGGCACAGTTTAAAAGTATACATTGAAACTGACAGTATGAAAAAATATATGTATAAGTTTTACGTAGAACATTTCTAACAGTAGCAAATTAACAGTAGTACGTTATCATTAATTGACCTAAGGTTATCATGTATGTTTGAAGAGATACATATGATCATTTTATTTAGGATTTGGACATTTTAAGGGATGCATGCCTGTGCCCTCAGAAATCTTTCATAGACTTGTTTTTACAAGAGCCACAACATACATGCAAATGTGTCTTCCCTGTTGGAGCCTCATTGAATATGTGGAAGGAGAGCTTCATCTCACAAGGACCATTGAAATGAAAGCTAAATGATATGACAAGATCCTTCCAGAAAATAAACCCCTTTGGATGGGATCAAAATGGATCTGTGTCATACTTGATTACATACCACAGAAGATCAAATTATACTGAAGCTTCGTGTTTACTTTCAATAACAAGATGCAATCCTAAAGCAATCACCTTGTATTTTATACATAATTGTTGATAGTTACTAATTTTCTTCCCATTCAAATTTTGCCAATATAGGAGAAGGTCAAAATGTAATTCCACCTTTTTTCTTAAATTGAAATTTCTTTGTAGTGAAACAGTAACTATACTTTTCTTATGCTGTATTATAAACAAATGATTATAAGTGAATGTTGCCAGGATAGGAGAAGCTGTCTTTTTGTATTATATCCTCCTCATTAGATTTTTTTCAATCTAAGGAATATGCCTATTAAAACTTGAATGCTGAAAGAATTCTGTGTTTTGAGTTGAGAGAAGCTAAATTTGTTACTTTCTGTGCATTTAAGTTAATGGCTATTGGTGGTAGATGTATTTTTAATGTCATTTGTTACAACTAGGAGTTTCTCACTGATAATTTTAGCTAATTATATCATTTATTCTGTATGTGATTTAGTCAAATTTCACCTGTCTTTCTAATGTCCTTTAATACCTTTTACATTCATTTAGTCATTTGATTTTTTACTCTTTCAATTTTTGTTTAAAGTTAGAAATGTTTTATTTAAGAGACTATAATCTTAAATTTTCACAAAGACCCCTTTGGATTAAGTAGTTAATTTTTATTTTTCCATGAAGGTTGTACTTTACTAAACTTTATTTTTCTATTGCTTAATGTCTAGTTTTTTAAATGTGATTCTCAAAAAGAATGTTTATTTTTTAGCTTGGATTAGCTTGTTAAAAATTGCACAATTAGTAGAGAGAAATATACTGAATATATTGAATATTTACAATGAGCTTTACTTGGTACAAGGCATACTGATGAGCCAGATGGTGTTTCCATGATAAACCAGTTGAAATACTTTCTGTGACTTACCAGTCAATAAAATAACAAGCCAGATGAGTTAAGCAATAGGATTGCCTAATTCCTTTTTTCTCTGAAGTAACATGTTAGGTTTTTTTCAACCAATTCAATTAATTGAACCAGCTTGGTATAATCAAACCTGTTATGTATTTAAGCATATTTAAGAGTCCTTTCCCTCTATGTATGTGCTAATTTAGCTAATAACATTAACTGGTAACATATAGCAACTGTTTGCTAAACATAGAACCCTAGAGTAATAGCAGCTTGAAGAACATTGAGGGCTAATAATTACATTAATTAGAAGGGGAAAGATACAAGTACCCTAGGTTGACAATCCTGGTAATAGTTCAGGCAGAATAAAATATTTCTTTGGTCTTTACCTCACACTTCAGGTGTATCTATTTTAAAATATGCTTCTAACCATTGACTACTACTATTTCCTTCCTTCCTTCCTTCCTTCCTTCCTTCCTCCCTCCCTTCCTTCCTTCCTTCCTTCCTTCCTTCTTCCTTCCCTCCTTCCTTTCTACCTTCCCTCCTTCCCTGCTTCCTTTCTACCTTTCTTCCTTCCGTTTTTCCTTCCTTCCTTCCTTCCTTCCTTTTCTTCCTTCCCTCCTTCCATCCTTCCCTCCCTTCTTTTTTGTTTGGAGAGAAGAAGGGTAGGTACTAACCAGGAAAAATTATCTTTAGTTCTGTAGATGGTAAAAGTAAAGAAGAGAAGTCCTCAAATTAGAAATAGTGACTCCAAGAGAGGAAAGACAATAAAAATTTAAGTTTTATTATTTTTAAATGCTTATGTTTTTAGAACTTGATTTTAAGTTCATTTGCAGTGTTAGGATGTTTTAAAGTAAGAAAGCTATGAGCATTAAAAAAGCATACTGAATATTAGTTTTTCTCTCACGGTGTATCTGTTTAAAAGAATTTAGAAAATAATATTCTGTTAAATGAACGTTTTCTTTGCTACATTTCTATTATGATGAAATTTTGGTCAGATTTATTGTTTAGCAACATCTGTATTTAAAACCAAGATGTCCTGACAGAGAGGAAAACAGTTATAAACAGAGTCACATCACAGTGACTGTGTGTATGTATTGTTGAATCTGCCATTCAAGGATTTGTTGTAGAGGCATGAAATACATCCTTAGAAAGAAAATAGTTATTTATTTCCTTGGGATTTATGGTATTGATCAGTACAGGTGACTCCCCTGATTACCTATATAATCTCAGGGTTTTCCATTGCCTCAAATTTTGTTTCTAAAAGACAGGCATAGTTGAACTGGACCCTATTCCAAAATTACCATAGTAAAACATAATAGTCTTTATTGTGTAATTTTATCATATCTTACAATTCTTCAATTAACATGTAAAACTTGTGACCTTTTTAAAAATACCATCTAAAATAGAATATTGTAAACTCCCAAATTACATTATCATTCCTTTTCCCTTTCTCTCTCTCTTTCTTTAATTTCTACTTCACTACATTAAAATTTAACTGTCATTTGGTAGGATGTGTGATTTCAAGCTATTAAGGTGAGCTGTGTAACAGGGAAGGTCAAAACCATGAACTGAGTCCTAAATTATGTAGCCTACCCCAGTGATGTACAATGTATTCTCTATTGTATTTATGCTTGACTTTTTGAACACATTTTGTTTATCTGTACAAAAGTATTGTCACAATATAAAATAGTTGTAATATGCCACTTTTTGAGTGTCTAGCAATGCATATTAAAATAATAGAACTGTGAGTCCATATAAATATGCTAAGAGACTTTTCATACTGGCTAAAATGGCAACATCTTGTCATGTGAAGATACAGTTCATTTGTGATCATTATTTTTGTGTTTGTGATTGCATTAAAATATTTATTTTAATATGTTAATTGTATACATAGCTAATCAGTAAGATCTGTAAGATAAACATAAAAATTTGTGACTTTTAGTTTCACTTTGGGATAATTTCACAAACCACTAGATTATTTTCAAATGCTGTGAAGCTTGGAATTGGGAGTGCTCTTAAGTTAATGCATCCTCAGGTACTGCTTAATTCAGTATATATATTATCTTAACTTTTAAGAAAACAACCTCCTATTTAATACTTCAATACAGGCCTGAAAATGAGAACTATATATGCAACTAAAGATTATTTTAAATGATATATAAATGTATGTGCCTGTGAAAGGTAAAATGATTATGTTACATAATTAATTACCATACCTTTGATGATGTACCATAAAATGGCTTTGAGAAGACAGCTATGCTTATATTGACAGAAAGAAAGTACATTTTTCTAGCAAAAACTCTCGTATTGGCCTTTCATACTCCCACTTTTGTAACCTTTTCTGAGCATCCGTAACGTTTTACTAACGTAGAAATATGGTTTGTCTTTTTTGGGAGAAAATATGAAATAGCTTTCTCATATTTCAGACTTACTCATCATTATTGTTCTTTCAGAGGTGGGATTCTGACAAAGTTAATTAAATTTAAATAAGTTTCTAACTGTGAGATAATTCTTCGCATTATGAAACGCTGCATGGTATTTTTGCTTTATAAATAGCATTTAGGTGTTTATACCATAGAATACGGTGAGTTGGGAGTGAAGTGGAAACCTTTAACATACTTTTGTTTTTGAAGATTGGAAGGAATATCCATGTACTAAATAACATGCTTCTTTTTTTCAGCCAAGTTCAAAAACTTTGCAGAAATAGATAACTTTAAAATGATAACTATGTCATTGTTGTTGTTGTTGTTGTTGTTGTTGTTGTTTTGTGTGTTGTTTGTGTGCGTATGTATTTTCTTTTTCATTTTAACCAGCCTCTTATACCTAGAAGTCCCACAAGCAGTGTTGCCACGCCTTCCAGCACCATCAGTACACCCACCAAAAGAGACAGTTCTGCCCTCCAGGATCTCTACATTCCTCCTCCTCCTGCAGAACCATATATTCCCAGGTATAAAACTACCTATTACATTGTCCTAGGCAGCTTCTAGCTAATGGTAAACCTAACAGCATATAAACTGCAAAGTCAATTCTCAAGGAACACCTTGGATATTTTCTCAGTTTGAAATTCTGAACACATTCTGAAGAATCATTCCCATTATAGAGAATGAATGTTGGCCAACAATAATAACTGATTTGTATATAAATACTTGCTGTGCATTAAGTATCTTATACTATCTCATATAATAGGAAAGAAAAAGTAATATTAAATAACAATTAGGTTTATTTTAATAAACAAAGAATAAGTGAGGCTCCTTGGCTAAAAAGCCCCAGAAAATTTCAGGTTACTTTGAAGCATTTCATACATTTTTTTTTTAATATAGAAAGCTGTAGATAACTTTTATGCTTTCTTAAATGTAGGTAATGAGGAAGATATTATTTGATAATGATGACAAGGGAGAATGTCTTTTTTCCCCTAATAATCCTGTATCTGAAATTTTTATTTCATTAATTCATTAATGTTTCTTTCAGGAAGTAGAGTTTACAAGGGAATGAATTACCCTTAATGTCTATTTTCTATATTTCTTGAGACTGTATCTCTATTTCATTTATCGATGCTTATTTGAAATTCCTTGCAGATGTGGAAGAATACAGCTTTATGCCACAATGCATTCTTTCTAAAAGCATTCTGATATCCAGCCTTGTGAAATACAAAAATTATGGAAAAGGACTAGCACTAAATGGGGATCATTAATACTAACCAAAAAACTTGATTCAGTTTTTAAATTAGTTCTGCATTCAAAAACAATAATTTAAGTTCTCTTGTTTTCAAGCCATAATTAGTATTAAATTCCTTTCATATATAAAAGAACTGAACTCCTTGTGTTTAATTTTCATTATTATTTAGTATACTTAGTGTTTTGGAAATCTGTATTCTATTAGAAATAATAGTTTACTAACATTATATGATCTAAATGCTACCTGGCAATATGGTTTCTCTGTAAATACTGTGTTGTCATCTAGTAACAAAACTATAGTCAATTTTATATACATTTTAGTTCTTATTTTTGAGAATTAAATATAGCCATTGGAACATGGCTTATAAGATATAGTTTACTAAGCTGGCATTTCATAAACATAATATATAATTTACAATCTTGTATTCAATTTGCAAGCAAATATACAAATCGATCCAATATCTAAGTAAAATGCAAGTTGCCTTTTAATTATTTTAAGACAGTGTGAGATTTTCCACATACTCTTACTTGAGGACCAATGAAAGTATGTGTGTTCCAAACAGGAAGTGACTTTTTATGGTTTACATTTTAATTGGAAAGATTTTTATTTCAGTGCAAATAATTATTTAAGAGGCCTTATACTTCAGAGGGCTACATGTACAGACAGACATCAAAAGATTATTTTTATCAGATCTCTGTAGTTTTAAAATATTCTTTTCTTTCCTCTTGGGTAGGGAGGAACTTGTTACAAAGAAAGTGTCTCCTCTACAGAAAATATTTAAAATACACTTAAGAGAACAAAAGGGTAAAATGATCCAGTTCCGTCTTCTGAGTGTGGTGAACATATTATAAAGGCTATAAATTGAAGTCAATAAAAAGCTTGAAGGTGCTATTTAAAAATACTAGAGAATGTGAAATTGAAATATCGACATAAGGACCCTTGCTTTATCACTATTGCTTGAAAGCTCCATACTTTTCTGTAAAATTCATAGTGTTTACTGTATCACTATAATGATTCTTAGTTGGTCGGTATATAATTTAACAGAATATTCTAAATAACACTTTGAGTTAAATTATTGCTTACCCAGTCATAAAATCTTTCAATATAGGAGTCAGAACAATGCATGCATCAAAGCCCCTTTGAACCACAGCCTTATATAAATGTCTGCATTTTCTGGCTTGATGTTAACAGTCAAAACTTTTTTGTAGTCGTGATTATTTTATAGATACAGCCTTGGCAATTTTTTCCCATTTCCTCATTTTGAAGATGAATTTGGTGGACCTAGTTTAATTCTTCTGAACATTTTTCCCCATATTAAAAAACTTCGTTTATACAGGATAGGCATTTTGGTGGTATATGAACATATATGTTTGATTTTGATTGTAAGTAATAAAGGCTCTCTAGTCTCAAAAAATAAATGGACTTGAAAAATGATAGGACTAGTTTTCAAGTTAGGCAGAATTTTTTTCATGTGGTTACAATTTTTTGAACACATTTATTCCAGGGGAAAAAGGGTATTGTAAAAGTGCCTTTTTCTCTAAAAGAGAAAACACTCATGTATGTAAAATGAATATGTTTATTTTATGTCTTATGACTATACACAGTTTCATTATCATTATATATAGTACATTTCTATACTTAACCAAATTTCTTTTTCTGTGATGAAAATGAAGAATTTATAGGTATTCAAACAACTATGACATTTAAGTACTAATAGCTGTTATTAACTGTACTGTGTGCTATTAAATATAAAGTTCAGTAAAGCAATGCTCTTGTAATGCTTCCTTAAATCCTTTCTAGAGCAAAGGCACAGATTTACTATTTATGTGCATAAACTTACAACATTAAGGTGTACAAATTCTTGACATCAGAATGAGTTAACACATTAAGTTCTCCAGGGATTCATGACATGAATATATACATTAACACATACATACTTACACACATTTACATACACAATACGTGTATCAACTCATTCTACTGAAAAGTTTGTTTTTGCTTGGTACTTTCCTTAATTCAGCAGTATTTTACTGCATTCTATATAGATTTGTTTCAAAAAATCTACCCTGTTGATAAAAGGTCCCTCCATATTATTATAGAGTAGGAAATACCATCCCTTTCAATTTTCTGCCTCAAGATGTTTCCATATAAATATAGCCTGGTGTATTAATAGGACTGAATCACCCTCTGATTTCAGCTGTATTAACATTGATGTCGCAAGCCTCATAGTGCAAGATCTGTCCATTTACAGATAGGCATAACCTTACTCCAGTGCCACAAATTTGTTAGGGCTGCATCCAGGGTAGTTGCAGTATCAATTTCTTGTTGATCGTGGACTAGCAGGAACAGAAAGTACCAGGCAATTTGTTCAGGAAAAGTTTTCAGCAAGCCAAAAGAAAATTCTGTCTGGATTTTATATTTATTTCCTTTATGTTGCCTAAGAACTGTCTATATAGTTTTATGTTGGTAATAAGCAATACTTTTATTTTAGAAAATAAAAGAATAAATGGTAATGTAAATGGCAACATCACCTTGTGATGGGTTAAACAGATAAGAAAACTCACTGATTGTCAGTCTGGAGAATGATGTTTACTACTTTCTACATATTTCAAATACTGGGTATATAGTTTTCTTCATTTGGACAAACCTATTCTAAACATTTACACACAGAAATTCAGGTTTTTGCTGGGCTGAGGCTCATATTTTAGAATTCACATTACTTTTATAAGCTCATCATTTTACAAGATATAATAGGAATTAATTTAAAATTTGTTCTTTTTATCTGTTTTGTTATAATTTAGTTTATTCTATAAATTTAAGTATTTAGTCTTATCACTTAACATAAAATTAAATTGTTTTTCTGGTTTGACAGCATTTATTCATGGCACTGTTTAGGGTAACCAGAAACAAATAATGAGAAAGAAATATAACTAATGGTCCACAAGAAAAGAAATGTTGCATTTACATGCATAGTCATGTTCTAGAAGACAAGCTTTTCTGACAAAAAGTTCATAGGTAATCAGTGAAACATTTCATAAAATAAACAAGATTCAATTTAATGAATCACAAATGGACTATTTCTATCAAAATGGGCTTAATTTAGGCGTAATTACCTATTACAGTATATGAATAATAGGTTTTAGCAAGCCCATAAATTATTAGACATGTTTTTTTCTAGACTCTTATAGAATAAAAAAAATCATCTTGCCATCACCCTAAATGCCATTCTTAAACTCCATATTTTAAAAAATTATTTTATCTTATCTCCTCAAGAAGCATCAATGAGTAATGACATTTCTATATATCCATTTAGAATGAGTTCTAGGAACATGTCTTTTTACTCTTAAATGATATACATAGAGTGTGAATACCTAGAATAATTCTTTTTATTAAGTTTTATTTTAAATTAATAACATGGTGTTTGAATTTCTTATAATACCAGTTTATGTCATGCTAATTTGATTCCTAAGGCCACAGTGCTCCTTATGGTAGTTCTTAAACACATTTTTGTTTTTAAGCAGTACAATTTTCCACCAAGAATCAATTAGGTAAACTGACAGAAGAAAGCATTATACTTAAGTTCACATTACTACCATTATACCCACTGTCTTAAACACTAAAAGCAATTTATGTGCTAAGGTAAACTGGCAGAAGAAAGCTATATACTTAAGTTAACTTTACTAGCATTATACCTACTGTCTTGAATACTGAAAGCAATTAATGTATGACATGGTACAGTGAAAAATGGACTTGGGCAACAGTTAAAAGATTCATGGCCCATTTCAAATTCTGTCAGTTATGAGCTGTGTAACATTGAGGCAAGTCATTTAGCCTTTCTGAGACTCACCTTTTGTTTTCAGCAAAATAAGAATAACTACAAATTGTCTTATAAATCTCAAAGAAAGTTTGGAAAGATCAAGAGATATATTCTTTGGGAATAAATTATTAGTATTTTAGACCCTCTGCCATTTACTACCCTAACATGTTTCTACATCCTTCTCCTTTAACCCTTCTTTAGGGATGAAAAAGGAAACCTTCCTTGTGAAGACCTTAGAGGACATATGGTGGGCAAGCCAGTACATAAAGGATCGGAGTCACCAAATTCATTTCTGGATCAGGAATATCGAAAGAGGTTTAATATTGTTGAAGAAGATACTGTCTTATATTGCTATGAATATGAAAAAGGAAGATCAAGTAGTCAAGGAAGACGAGAAAGCACCCCCACTTATGGTAAGTATTCTTCTCTTATGTTTATATAAGAATATATGTCTAGCATGGGAATCTCAACTTCCTTTAATAGGTTTTTGGGTTATGAGAGCTACTTAGGAGCTTTTTATTCTTTATAATTGATCTATGTCTGTCATGTGCTTCTAAGTGGAATCTCCACAATATGAGACATGATACTAAAAATTATTCAAGATTTTCAAAAGATAAGAAAGAACAGTCGGTAACATTTTAGCTCATAATGAATTATAAAAATCCTTTTAGCATCATATATACTTCTTGTATGTTAGATGTTGCCAATTTGGGAATATTCAAGAGTTATTTTTTCTTTTCTGTTTTTTAAATGAATATTCACTGTTAACATGACTTATTTAAAATAAAATTATCTCCTTATTCCTCAGGGATTTTAAGAAATAGAATTTTCTGGGAAAATTCTCACCTCAGTTTTTTTTTTTTTTTTAAGAAGCTGTAAAATTTATTTGACATTAGAGTGGAAGTGGATTTTAAATAGAATTAGATGAACATAATGTATTTAAGGCAAAAATGGACCTAGAGTTATGATGGGCCTAGGATTGTTTTAATCTTTGATTCATGACTGAAGAAGTAAGCCAGTCACAAATACTTAAAATTGCTACAGTATATCTGAAAAATTTGCAGATGAAGTTGCTTAAAGTAGTAAAGCTTGTGGTTCTTTTGCAAGAATGAATGGATTTAATTGAAAGTTTCTGCCATCCCTTTCCAGTTTTCAAATTTATCATTTTTAGTGAGGGTCTTATACTTTGAGGAAGGGCAGCATCCCTGCTAATTAGTTCAATGGGAACTAAGCAAAAGCAAAATTGTTTTTAACTCCCTCTTTCTATCCATACTCCTCACTTGTCCATCATGGCCATCTGCCTCCCTCCTTTGGTCTCAAAAGAGCAGTCATCACATATCTTCATATACATCTCTTATTTCCTTTCAGCTCTTTGGTAATAAGTACAAAAGAAAAATTTTCCCCAAAATGACCCTAAAGAATGGGAACCATACTTATATTACTTTGTGTTATTCTCTGTACATGTGCTTTTTAATCATAAGAATAAATAATACATTTCAACATAAGCTCCTCAACTATACTACTCTAGTGTCAATTAACTCTTAAGTATTGAAGATATCTGAACCTTTACTTTTCTCCTCTACTATATTGTAAACTTGCAATATAGAGTACAGAGACCTGTAAGCTCTACCATCCCTACCCTTGCCCCATAAAATAATATGAAGTTTTTATTCTTATTCATTCATTCCACAAGTACTAATTGACTAGCTATTACTGGATAGGCAGTAATGTATACCAACTCTTCTTTGTTTGTGTCCCAGTATTATCTGGCTATTTCCTACTTAGGTTTAAGTAGATAATTAATGTTTAATTTAAGAGAAATTATAGTCACCAAATAAAAGTAATTGATTACTGATGACTTTATTTTTTAAAACGTTTACTAAGTTCTTACTTGAATGGCTATAAATTGGTAGTCCTTGCAGACCACAGTTTAAAGCACCTAATGCCATCATGTGTGACAAATGTCCTCCAGTAGAATAGAATACTGTTTAAATATTAGAAAATTTAGAGAGCCTATAAATACTTGATATCTTTTTATAAACAACTTAGGGGAAAAGAAATACATACATACTTGAGAGAGAAGGAAGCAAGCAGCATTATCTGTCTCAGTATCAATTTTAACTTAAGCTTTTTAAAACTGACATGTAATTGTACATATTTATGGGCTACAGAGTGATATTTTGATATATGTATACAATGTGTAATTATCAAATCAGGATAATTAGCATATTTTGCACCTTAAACATTTATCACTTCTTTGTGTTGGGAACATCTGAAATCTTCTCTTCTAGCTATTAGAAATTATATCATAAATTATTGTTAACTATACTACTAGAACTTCTCTCATGTAGCTGTTATTTTATATCCATTAACCAATTTCTTCCAAATCTCCCTCCTACTCACCCCTTCCTTTCTCAGACTCTAGTAACCACAGTTCTAGTCTCTGTAAGCTTAATGTTTTTAGTTCCCACTTGCAAATGCAAACACACAGTGTTTATCTTTCTGGACCTAATGTATTTTACTTAACATAATGTCTTCCAGGTTCGTTCATGTTGCCGCAAATGACAAGATTTCATTCTTTTTTAGAGCTGAATAATATTCTTTATATATATCCTATATATAATATTCATATATATATATATATCACATTTTCTTTATCCATTAATCTGCTGATAGACACATAGGTTAATTTTCATATCTAAGCTATTGTTAACAGTGCTGCAATACACATGAGAGTACAGATATCTCTTTGACATACTGATTTCCTTTCCTTTGGACATATACCCAATAATGTGAATGCTGAATTGTGTTGTAGTATTAGCCAACAATTTTTTTTTTAGCACTTTGAATATATCATCCTGTTCTTTCTTGGTCTGTAAGGTTTCTGCTAAGAAATCCACTGTTATTCTGATGGGGGTTCTTTTTATGTGATCTGACACTTTTTTCTTACTGTTTTTAGAATTTTTTTCTGTGTCTTTGATTTTTGACAGTTTGAATATAAGATTTGGAGAGGACTTTTTTGGGGTTGAATCTGTTTGGGGTTCTTTGAGCTTCCTGTATGTTTGTATGACCTATAGCGCCTGCAAAACTTGGGAAGATTTTAGCTCTTATTTCATTAAATAGTGTATTAGTCAAGGTTCTCCTTGAAGAAGAGGGACAGAACTAATAGGATATACATATACATGAAAGGGACTTTATAAAGCAGAATTGGCTCACACAATCACAAGGTGAACTCCCGCAATAGGCTGTCTGTGAGCTGAAGAGTAAGGAAGCCAGTAGTGGCTCAGTCCAGGTGCCAAAGCCTCAAAAATAGAGAAGCCAACAGTGCAGCTTTCAGACTGTGGCTAAAGGCCTGAGAGCCTCTGGTAAACCACTGATATAAGTCCGAGAATCCAAAGGCCAAAGAACCTGGAGTCTGATGTTCAAGGGCAGGAAGCACCTGGCATGGAAGAAAAATGAAAGCCAAAAGACTTAGCAAGACAGCTTATTCCACCTCCTTCTGCCTGCTTTTTCTAGCCATGCTGGCAGCCAATTGGATAGTGCCCACCAACATTGAGGGTGGATCTTCCTCTCTCGGTTCACTGACTGAAATATTAATCTCCTCTGGCAACACCCTTACAGACATACCCAGAAACAATACTTTGCATCCTTCAATCCAATCAAGTTGACACTTAATATTAACTATCACAAATAGGTTTTCGATGCCTTTTCCCAATTAATTTACTACTGGAACACTCAAATTCAAATGTTTGGTCACGTTATGGTGTCCCATTTGTCATGTAGGCTTTCTTCATTCTTTTTTCTTTCTTTTCTTCTGACTGGATTGTTTCAAAATACCTGTCCTTATATTCAGAAATTCCTTCTTCACCATGAGCTAGTATGTTGTTGAAGTTCTCAGTTGTGTGTTTTTATTTCATTCATTGAATTCTTCAGGTCTAAGATTTTTGTTTGGTTCTTTTTTTTTTTTTTTTTTTTTTTTTTTTTTTTTTTTTTTTTTTTTTTGAGACAAAGTCTTGTTCTGTCAGCAGGCTGGAGTGCAGTGGTGCAATCTTGGCTCACTGCAACTTCCAACTCCCTGGTTCGAGCGATTCTCCTGCCTCAGCCTCCTGAGTAGCTGGAATTACAGGCATGTGCCACTACACTCAGCTAATTTTTGTATTTTCAGTAGAGACGGGATTTCACCATGTTGGCCAGGATGGTCTCAATCTCCTGACCTCGTGATCCACCCACCTTGGCCTCCCAAAGTGTTGGGATTACAGGTGTGAGCGACCCAGCTTGTTTGGTTCTTTTTTATGATTTCTATTTTTTGTTGAATTTCTCATTCAGATCGTGAATTGTTTTCCTTATTTTGATGAATTGTCTGTATTCTTTTCTATCGCTCTGAGTTTTCTTAAGATCATTATTTTGAATTGCTTTTCAGGTCATTTCGTATATTTTCCTTTCCTTTGAGGTATATTGCTAGAGAGTTGTGTTCCTTTGGAAGTGTCATATTTCCTTGCTTTTTCATGTTTCTTATATCCTTACATTGATATCTGTGCAACTGGTGAAGCAGTCACTTCTTTTAATTTTATGGGTTTGCTTTCATAGGGAAAGACATTTTTCTGCATATGGCATTCTATAATGTCAATTGGGTAGGGTTCTTTGTTTTTGGTTGTGTTTGTGCATAGTAGTGTAGTTTTCATGTGATTTTTTTTGGCTAGAGTCACTCTTGTGTTCTCCAAAGATTTTTTTTTTTACTTTTGAACCTGAAACAAATATAACCTTAATGTAGCTACTTTTAGATACATCACTGGAGATTCCTCAGTACAACCTGAAGATTGTTTCAAGCAAATAACTGTCTAATGTATTTAACTTTTAAAAATTAAATGTTAATTAATAAAACCTATATGTCAGGCAAAGGACTATGTGTCAGGCAAAGGACTATGTGGCCATAATTTTCCCAACAACTAATTTATTTATTAAGTCATTCAGCTAATACTTGTTGTATACATAAAGTCAGCCAGCCACTGCGACACAAAAAATGAATAAATCCATAAATTCTAATTACCCAAAGGGAAGAAACAAATAAGTAGATGCATCACAGTCACGTCAGGTCAATTGGAAGGTATGCACCAAGTGCTGTAGTAGCCCAGGAAGTAAAGCCTCATAGTTTGCCTTGGAAGTCAAATAAGTACACATGACATTTATGCTGGGTTTTAAATGATGGATAGTCCTTTCATCCAGGATTTTTAAACGCTAATCATCCCACCAAATACCTGGTATCTTCTCAAGCGTAGGTCAGAGATCTGAAGGTTTCTCTCAGTACCTCAGGCCAGACCCTAAAGGCCCCAACGGAAATTACTTCAAACCTTCATAAGCAGTAATCAATGACAACTTCTTTATTTAACCTATAAAATAATGCCATTACCTGGAC